TATTAATGTGATGTTTTTAAACAGTTGGATTAGTACTTGAAATTAATATTTTGTTTTTTAATATCTACGGGTGACAAAATTACCAATAAAATATTTAGTATTATTAAAATATTACTTGATAAGTTATATATATAATAATACATTATTTCAACAAAATTCAACAAAATATTATATTAATAAATCATTTATAAAAAAAAATATTAATCAAATATTCAACACAAATATCAAGGTCAAAATACTCAACCAAACACATATTCTATAAATCATATTCTCGTAATCATAATCCTATCCAACTATCCAATCCTATCCCTAAAATCATATCCAAAATAATGAACCAAACGCACCCTATATTATTCACCTTAATAAGGATTCATGGAAATTACCCTGTTGACTGATTAAAAATATCAAAAATACTTTTATACGTTTTAATTAATTTTATAAATACATAAAATTATTTTAAGAAATAGGAATATATATATATATATATATATATATATATATTAATATATTATATATATATTTTGTTTTTTTTAATTAGACAAATACGATAACATATATATATATATTTTTTTTTTTTTAATTAGACAAATACGATAACATAAACTTTCTTTGACGGATCGGATTAAAGTTCATCTTTAGGCGAAACCTGTAAGTTTTGTTGGCTTCCTTAAAATCTATAGCTTTTATTTTCTGATTTCATTTTAACTTTTAAGGGTTTGGCAAATCTAGTTGTTTTCTTTGAGAGAGAGAAAATTAGTGAAACTAATCATACAACTACATATAGGATCTTATGGAATTTAGCTCTGTTATGCCTGAAAAATATAGGGCTAACGCAAGACTTGGTCAGCACAAAAGGTTAGAGCTTGGGTAGGCCCGCAGCCAGTTAAAAGAAGCCACGTCGCGTGGTGACCTGAGCAGTCCGCTCCTGTCAGTAAAGTGGGTGTGTGCCAGACCAACCAGAAGCCATAGTAACTCCATGTGTCCGATCCCTGCACCAAATCGCATAAATCGCTCTGGAAGGTGGGCAATGTGACATAAAGAAGGATGTGCACGGATAATCCTACAAACTCACAGATTTAGTAATGATAACCTTAATCCATCCCACTATAAATTGAAAGCTCTTCTCTCATTTACGGGATTAGCTACTCTCTCTCTTAAAAATACATAAGCATTCTCCCTTGTACAATCATTTGTAAGTCAATCCGCCAACGCGACCTGACCCCTATCATTAATACAAAAATTAATGGATGTAGGATTCGCTTCCTTAGCATCCGAACCACTTTAAACACTGTTGTCCATTGCATTTACTCTCATTTTCATATTCACGTGTGTTCTCTACGTCTGCTCAGCATTTCACATGTGTATTTGGTTGGTGTCAAAATCACGCATCAACAAGCTCCAATATATTTTGATCTCTGTTTAATTTTACAGATCTACAGAAGATCAGAGTTTGGTAATACTCTTGGATGTATTTTTGTCGAAATATTTCTGGAAATTAAATTTATTTGTTATTTTTCCAAAATTTCAGTCTCTTGCTAATTAATTAAAGTCAATTGAAAGTTCATCATGAGCATCCAAAGTGTCTCTTCATATGGATCTTCTTAAAGGAAATAATGTACTAACAAAATATTTCCTACTTGAAAGAATATGTTAAGAGCAAAACCTTGAGCAAATATGTATGAAACAATAATCAAATTCACAAGAGACACAAGCAACTTTACATGGAAAAACCTCTTCGATGTGAAGAAATTAAAAAACCAGGGGATCGAATGATCCATTTAAATCCACTATAATAAAAAAGTGTTTACAACAGCCACAAATCACCAATAATATTCCACATAGAATTTAGAGCTTTATTACAACTCTAACAAAGTGAAATGCATAAAAGAGTTACGAAGCAAAGTACCCGAAATGCAGGCTGTATGACTCCAAACTCAGCCATTAAAATCGAAAACCAACCATCCAGATTGAAGAGTCAAACATCATCTGCGTTTTGACCAAAAATCAGGTTGATCAGACTAGAGATGACCTTCCGGTCGTCAGGTTGAAGAAGGACAGACGGACTGAAAATTCTGCAACTCATCTCTTTGATTTGGCTATCTTTCTAGAAGCAAAACTACACAAAAAGATGGCTATCACGAAACTGACTGTTGGATGTGAAGATCATGCCATCAACAACAACACTCTGAAATTTGGGCAAAACCGGAGCAAGATTCACCGTTAGATCGTCGCCCGAATAACCTGATGTGGCTGCTTCACTCTCACTTTGCAGATTTTTGTTGTTGTGAACCACGTTTTTTACTGTTCACCCACTCAAAAATCAACTAAAACAAGCTACACTTTTTTTTTTTTTTTTTTTTTGAAGGAAGTTTTAGCAGCGAAAGAATGTATTGACCGATTTTGATTGTTCGTAATCAGTCAGGAATTTACTTTAAGGACAGACTCTAAATATTTAAAAACATTTATGAAACTGTCTTTAAATGATGACAAAGCTAGACTAATCAGATGGCAGATTTGGTTTGCAAATTATAGAATCAAATTTGAATATATTTCTGGTAAATCTAACTTTGTTGCTGACTTTTTGTCCAGACATTTTGCAGAAGAATTGCAGGACAATGGCGGACAAGAAGGAAACTGGAAATCACTTCTCATGCTCCAAGTGTAAGCAACGAGGACACTTGAGAAGGAACTGCCCTTTGAAGGTTACTTCTACTTCAAAGGTTACTGCTAAAAAGGAGAAAACTGCGAATAAGCAGGTGACTTCTTCGTCTAAGCAGGTCACTACTGTAAAGCAGGTTGAAGGAAAGAATCGTGACTATGATTCTGATACTTCGGATAGAAGAAACCCCAAATTTTAACGATTGCAGAGTGAAACTTCTACGAAGGTAAATACTTCTGAAAAGAGGGTTACTCCTAAGAAGGAAACAACTCAGAAAAAGGCAATAGTTTGCTGGTCTTGTAAACAGGAAGGACATGAACGGGTTAATTGTCCACTGTCAAAGATCAAAAATTCTGAGGAATCATCGTCAGGCGCTACAAGCGTGGTGACACACACTCCACAAAAAAAGCGGTTAATTAACGTAGATATTTGTGAGAGGTTTAGCTTTCCAGAAGGTGTAAGATTAACTTCAACAAGTCAAACACTCTGGAAGAATCTGGAAACCCAAATTAGGATCGCAATGGCGACAGGACAAGGGGAAGTACAGCTACAAAGGTGTTTAGAAAAGCTAGCAAGAAGGTTAGCTTGGCTGGAAACTAACAAACTGTTTTATGAGGATGAGGAGTTCAAGGGAACTGCTTTACTCTACGAAGCAGGAATTCAAAAACTTGAGGTAATGAGAAAATGTCATTCGTTTGACATGTCAACACTCAAACTCGAGAATTTGAATGAATTAATAGTGAAATTGGGAAAAACTGACTTGACGGATGTGGTTCAAGGATTAGCGGTTTATCTTAATGGAGCTATAGAATTGTTCGTTCCATGGAAAATCTTTAGAAAAGGTTTCTGTAGAGATCTTTTGACTAAAGGATGGATCGATACAATACAAATTAACGTACAAGAAGCGATGGTGGATCCGAATATGTCAAATGCGGTTAAGCAAACGCTCTGTTTATTGAATCGGAAAGTTGACACATTTACTTGCATGATTACTTCCTCATTGCAAGAGAGCTATGATGTTCAACCTGTACAGATATGAGAATTTCATGTAGGAGAACCATGGTACCGAATTATGCTCGATAATAAGGTAAAAATGGGTTCTTATGCACTAGAAGAAATTCAAAAGAAAAAAGAGGAAGATTGGACCAGGTTGCATATTGCAAAATTGCTACTGGTTAAATCTAAACTGGAGGAGATTGTTAAAGCAAACGCTACTGTCCAAATCCAACATAGGATAGTGGTAGTTATACCAGACAGGTACGCAGTGATCTAGGATACTCTTTTTCAACATAATCAGGCCCAATTAAGAACGCTATGAGAAGGGTTCGATTTAGCCCATTTATCAAAGCAAACCTTGATGGAAGGAACTATTGATCTTCTAAGGTTGGTCTTAGCCCACGACCAGGAAGCCCAAGAAGATGAGACTCTAAAAGATTTTATTGATCTTATTAAAATAGATAACTTCAAATATTGATAAAAATCTAGAGGATGGAGATTTGGGCAACCGGAAACGTTCAACACGTAATACGCTGACGTGTATCCAACAAGCGGAAGCAATATATGGACAGCGAAGATTTTGCCGACGAAAATTAACGAAGCATATTTAAAGAAAATCTTGAATGTTGTGTCGTATTGTCTCATGTAACATGTGTACATTGTAATAATTTAGTTTTGTTTAAAACATAGGAAACATGTGGATCCCATGTCATTTTCCTTATTTTCTTTAAGATAAATGTTAGTTTTTTATTAGGCAAAAGTCATATCACATGTCTTTTGTGATTAACATGTTATTTTGTTTTTCTTCAGGATTCAAGTTTTTTGAAATCCGAACTTCTATATAAAGAGAAACGTTGTATATTTGTAATCAGAGAAAAATTAATAATACTTTCAGTTTGTGAAAAATTCAGTCTCTCAATCTCTTGTTTTACTTTTATTGCCTACTCGAAACAAATAAAAGGTTTACTCAAAACGATTGATACTCAGGTATGAATTAATCTATAAAACTGAATTTATGTGTTTTTCTCTCCAATTAATCAACTAGGTTAATTAGTTATTAATTATAATAATATTTGTAAGACTGGTTGTTATATATATATATATATATATATGCATCAATATTTAAATTAGACCTGTTAATGTAAGATTACTTGTTTCACACCGGTATAAACAGATGTACTTACTTCCCATCAAGCTGTGCGATTACACCCTCAAATGTGGCCCTTCTTCAAGGATCCTTTCTTGCATGCCTTCCAGCAATAGCATCATTTCATCTACAAATATAAAAGCAGGCGTCCGCCCAGATGATTCACATAAAATCATGATCACTTATTTGCAGAGTATCCTAAAACTGCAATANATGAACCGCCAGCAGTCTCTTCTTTTCAAAAGACACCTATTACATAAACATAATAACCCAATGATCAATACACTAACCAATTTTACTTCCATAAGTACCGCTGAGAAACTAATATAAGCAGGAACATACACTTTGTTCAATTTTCTGTTGCTCTTCCTCTGTGAGAAGCACACCCATACCCTCAAGCAATTGTTTATCTAAAACATCAACAATATCTTGCTGGTAGATCTTAGAATGTCCTTTCCTCACCTGCAACCATCAACCCAGACAACTCTTTCAATGATTGCTGCCAAATGCACAAATTTTACTCGAAACCGTGAGCAACACACTCACAAACTATGCTGCAAAAAGATGACAAAATTTATCTTTTAGTGTAGTCAAAACTCCAGCTGGGCTACAAATTCTTTTCAGATAAGTACATGTTTCACAGTTAAAAGCAATAAAGTTGAGGCCATAAAACACAAATGGGAGTTTAAGCAAACACAAGTGAGACATATGCCATAAAAAGATGTGTCTACACATGCACAGAGATGTGAATAAATAAGGGGATTAACTGAAAGGGAGACAACTTCTGAAATATATAAAATTTTGGTTATCCCAAAGAGTATAAAAATAAAGGACATGAAAGTAACCAAAAGATTGACTAGAGTAATAGGTGCTTTGGGACATAAAGCACCAGCGATAAATTATTTTGGACAAGATATGAACTTACCGACATTATTGCTGCTTCATTCACAAGATTTCTAATATCTGCCCCAGAAAAACCAACAGTTCGGAAGACAAGCTGTAAAGTGAAGAAAGAGGAGACAGCAATAAGCCCAAAACTGTCAGATGTATAATTCCGAGTGAAAACAACTGTAGGAGGTAAATTTATATTATTGCCTCAATGGTGACAATGGTGATGCCAACAGTGAATGTGATGATAGTCATATTTTTTTTAACAAGGCCTTAATGAGAAAAACTCAAAACCAAACGCTTCCAATATGGATAAATACTCTACTCTTGTTCTGTGCAATTGTCACAGCACTTAAAGCTCAACCATGTGGCATACATAATTGTGCCACGTGCAGCTATGCAACAGAAGATGTATGCATGTATGTATAAGTAACCACTCACCTGTTCAAAGTTAACATCTTCTGCAAATTGTTTTCCTGCACTGTGCACACCAAATATTTGCACCCGTTGTTTTGCATCAGGCAAACCAATGTATAAACGACGGTCAATACGACCAGGGCGGACAAACTCGAGGTCCAATTCATCTGGTCTATTGGTGGCACAAATGAATATCACAGCTTGTCTAAGTGAAAACCGATCAACACCAGTTTTCTCTTTCCTACATGTGATAGTGTTGAATATGAAAATCAGTTTACACAAGTGAGAAAGCACCAAAACCAATCACCTGGTACTACCAAAGAAATCATCATCAATTAGGGTTGACGTATACATTAAAAGAAAACTAAAAATCTGTTCAGTCTCCGTTATAATAGATAGAAACTGGAAGCTAACAAAGTGTTAACTTATCAGATAACAAGAAATTTGATTTTCTGATTATCGGAACCAAAATCATCCATATGGATGCAGGAACAAAATCAGGCGAAGCAAGAACACCACATAATCTAGGACCATCAAATCTAGCACATTTAATGTATTGTCGTTGACCTCAATAATCCTTTAGGTCAAAGCCACCTCATAGACCTCTTCTGGGCATCCATGAAGGTCTAGAACTAGGCTTTAATATCGCCTCTACAGTCACTACCATGAAAGCAAGCACAACTTTCCAACTTAAAGGTGAGAAGCATCAAATTCACATTTACAGGGTTGTCCAAAGGAACATGCATCAATATTTAAATTATATCTATTGTCAAGATGGTAAGATTACTGGCATTCAAACCAGTATAACTGATACACTTACTCCCCATCAAGCTGTGCAATTAGAGCCTCAAATGTGGCCCTTCTTCGAGGATCCTTTCTTGCATGCCTTCCAGCAATAGCATCAATTTCATCTACAAATATAAACGCAGGTGCCTGCACACAAAATTCATACAAAACTATGATCACTTATTTGCAGAGTTATCCTAAAACTGCAAAGTATATTTGATATAGGGAACAGTAATCAAAGAATCTAGGGTGAGCTTTCTGGTGGAGCTGACAAATCAAATATCAGCAACCTACAAACAAGAATTGCAGATTCAACATCACTTTTGACTCCATTTACTAACAAGTAGAAATATGATGATCAGAACATGACAATCCGAAAAAAGAGTTTATAATTCCTTAAACTTTTTCTCATCAAAATTTTCCTAATCCAAGTGAGTTATGATAAGAAATTATAGATAAAAGAATTTGGGTTCTTCAACTAATGACTGATGTAAATGCAATAGCTTACAAAAAACCAATTACTCTTTTGGGTTCTTCAACTAATGACTGATGTAAATGCAATAGCTTACAAAAAACCAATTACTCTTTCTCATTTAATCATAGAGAGAGTTTACACTACAACTTGCATGTCGCACAGAATAAGCAATCCAATGATTTCCGATGATTGATGTGAGCACAATAGCTCTACAAGATTATGATAACTGGTTTACAACCAACACGAACATTTAGTGAGTATCTTATCCACTCTCCAGTGATTTTTCTTTAGAAAACTGAAAAATTGAAAATGCTTACATTTCTCCTCGCTATAGAAAACATCTCATTGATCCTAGCTGCACCACTCTTTTCACTATCTGTGAACTCTGCACCAGAAGCAAAAACAAATGGCAGCCCACTTTCCTTTGCAAGTGTCCGTGCAAAAAGTGTTTTTCCTGTTCCGGGTGGTCCAGACAGAAGAACACCCTGACATAAAAAATATTAAGTATGATCATATTAGATCTCTATAATGGAACACCAAAAGAATTGCTTTTATCTTTAACAGAAATAGAAAAGATTACCCGAACAAACTGGACACCTCTTTCATAATACTCCATGGGGTTCCCCATATAAATCATCAACTCATCAAGCAGATCCCAAACATCACCCCCTAATACCACTTCTTTATACATAGATTTTGTTTCACCAACATCTCCAACTGGCTGGATGAGTACATGATGTTAGGAGAATGTGAAGACAATTATTACAGGAAGAGTAAGGAAGTTGGAGAATTAGAGCTTACCAGGATGAAATTTTCTGCATAAGCCATATCAAAAAGTTGATTATACTTTTTGTAAAGAAAACGATTAGAGGTGACATGGAGAAGCATCACAGACTCCCTTATCAGCCAGAGAATCAGCAGTCCAGGCAACAAAGCAATCAAAACTTTTAGAAAATAATGGATCTGCCGCTTCTGAAGGAGATCTACTTCAACTCCAGAACTTGAGATAATCTCAAACAAGAAAGGATCAAGGGGAATGTTAACCTACAAAAGAAATATAACATCAAGACGATATAAGGAAAGTATACTTGTGAAACTACTGTAACAAAAATGAGACGTTGAACGTACAACATATTCTAATGGAAAACCTTCTTTCATTGTTACATACAATCTTTTCAGGTCCTCTGTAAAAACAACAGCAGCAACCTGTAGAAAGAATTCATGAAACTGCATAAGGTAATTTAACCTTTATAAAATGATTTGATGATTCCAATTTTGTTCAAAAATATCAAAACTAAATAATTGAAAACCCAAAATCCATGCAATACAGAGCTGTAGGCATTTACCAACTTAGCTGCATGGGGAGAGAAAAGAAAACAAAGGGCAACAAAAAACTTTACCTCGGAGCTATCTAGCTTGTCAAGAAAATAAGTGTAAGGAAGTTTAGGACGATAGCGCCACCATCTCTTCGCTATCCATAGAGCCCTGGTTCCCTGTGTCTCTGTCACCTTCTCCACCACATCCTTGCGAAGACTTTTTTCAACCTCTTTCATATCAAATTCAACTACATATCTGGCATTTGAGGAATCTACTTCTTCAGATAACTTTTCCTTTTCCATGATCTCCTTCCATGCACGAAGTTTTTCACGCCAAGTACTTTTATTTGCTTGAACCTCACCTTCTTGACAAGTATATAACACGCACACACAAATTAATATTAGGAATCAAGAGTAATGTCTATCTTTTGGAAGGAAGATTTACAAATTGACTGACAATTTTAATATGAGCTTAATAATCATACAGTAATTTAAGTGATGTCTGCCTTTGCCGAGGGCACATTTACAATTAACTACAAATCATTCAAATTCTATGTACTGTCTCATCCAACATAAATTTTTTATCTACAAAGCCTTTTCCTGCATAGTTATCATATTTCAGATTACTTTCAAAACTGCCAGAAAATCAAAATCAGAAAGAAGTTTGTTTGAACCATAGTATTTCCAGTGCTAAATTAGCAACCAGAACCATAATACATGCATGAAATAAAAAATATAATGAGACCAGAAAAATGATTATACAACTTAATATCAAGACATAGGAAGCATAATTTTTTTACGTACATTCAGGCTGTCAAAAATAAACTAACCTGAAATGCCCAAGTCTTCAATTAACTTTTTCTTTTCTTCTGCACTCAATCTTTCATTGCTGTCAATAACCTTTTTCACTTTTTCCTGTGAAGGCTCTGGGTCATCAATCCAAGCATCTTCTCCAACATAAGATCTATCATGAATTAATGTCCCATCAGGCCCTTCAATATACTTCTTCAATTTTAGACCTTTAGGTGTTGTCTTCCTCCACATACTCTTCTTAAATCTACAACCACAGAACAGAATTTAATTCTCAAAGACTTCAATCGAGTCCCAAAACATGTCTCATCATAACATCAATTGGATGCAACTGCAATTAATGATCACTTACTTTCTGATATTAATAGGGGATGGCTCAGGAATCAATGCCTCCATGTAAGCCTCTGTTACCTCTTTTCTTTGACGATCAAGGTAAGGCGCACGAACAGCGACATATATTCTTTGACAAGAAATGATCACAACAAAAACATAGAGAATTAATGCACCAATCCTTTTAGGCTCCCAATTCTTGACATCCTGCATATAGTAAACAACTATAACAATGTCTTATAAATAGAAGTTAAAAAAAAAAGAAGAAGAAGATCATTCAAAATACTCATTTCTTTTTTTCTAATTCTACATTTTCCGCACACTATCTTAGCAACCAAACGCAAAATCAAGCAAAAGTGTCTCAATCTTAATCAACAAAATTACCAATGTTCATCTAATCAAACAAGTAGCAACTAGAAAAATTGAGAAAAAAGTTCATTTTTTCTTTAATTCTACACTTTCCCCGCTCCTTCTTATCAGCCAAACACAAATTTAGGCAAAAGGGTAGCAATCAAAATCAACAAGATTACCTTCCAACGCTCCCACCTATTCCAATCCACGAACTCAGGCACCAAAACAGTCCTGAACCGAGTGAACTCAGCCTCACCCTTCTTCACTCCGTTCTTAACTCGCCCCACCAACTCACCCACCTTCACATTAGCCTCCTCAAAGTCAAACCCGGTTTCCCTCTTGACCGACTGGCCAAAGTTGGACCAGAACCGCTCCGACCCGACCTCAATAGATCGAGCAATACTCGGCCAAGAAAACCCATCTGACCCATTCGGATTTGCAGAGGAATAAACTCTAAAGATGGGATTTTGGCGGGAAATTCTAGGCCTGTGCGTCTGGCGTTTTGGGAAAGGAACCGCTTTTGTGAGTGAATTTGAAGATGAAAGAAGTGGGTTCGGTTTGAAAGGGATTGAAATGTCCATTTTTTTATGAGAACGACAGAGAATTTTGAGAAAATGTCTCACTGTCTTAGCTGCACAAGCAGCTGCAGTTTTTTTGCTGTTGGGACTGGGGGTTTTGAGAGGTTTATCTGAATCTTAAAATGGGTCGGGTATTTTATGCACATGGGTCAACGTTTGTAACTTTTTTTTTTCTTTTTTTCAAACAAATTCAAATTCAAATTTTATATATATATATATAATCTAAGTTATAAGTTATATGATTATCATTTTAAAGAGGTAAAATTCCTTTATTTTGACACATCAATAACACTACGAACACCGAAAAAGTTGCACCGAAATTCTGTACCGGCCTACGTGTAACGCGCGTATGAATTTTTTTACAATTTTTTTCTAGTGAATGGTCGTCCATCAAATTTGGACGACCGTTCACTCACATGGACGCCCGTCCATATTATATGGACGAGCATCCATATACAAGGGACGGGCGTCCCCATTTAAAGGACACCCGTCCATAAATAAAATATAATAAAAAAATTTACGAAACATTATGGACGGCTGTTCATAGGTTGTGGACAGTCGTCCCTTAATTTTGGACGGGCGTCTGCAAATACGGGACGCCTGTCCAAACTTAATTTGTTTTAAAAAATTTGGACGCCCGTCCATAAATTGTGGACGGGCGTCCCTTAAGTTTGGACCGGCGTCCGTAACTAATGGACGCCTGTCCATTATGTATGGACGGCAGTCCACACTTAAGGGACGGCTGTCCATTATTCTTTCTCTCATATTCTATTCTAGTTCATTCTTCTTCTTCTTCTTGTTTTGTTTGAGTACAAGTTTTGGCCAAAATGAGAGCGCTAAGTAACCAAGATGATGATAAGATTACTAAGGAAAAGAAAGAAGAAGAGAAGAAGCTTAATAGAGTTTCGTTGCTAAAACTATTTACATTTGCAGATTTTTACGACAGTGTGTTAATGGCTTTGGAATCAATTGGTGCAATTATTCACGGGGTTTCAATTCCTGTTTTCTTTATATATTTCGAGAGGATGATCAATATTATTGGATTGGCTTATCTTGCCCCCAAAATAGCTTCTCACAAAATTGCGAAGGTATCCAAAATTCTTCAAGAAATTACTTCATCTTTAACTTTCTAACTTATTTTTGTTGCAGTACTCATTGGATTTTGTATATCTCAGTGTGGCAATTATGTTTTCATCATGGCTAGGTATCGACAAATTTTGTTTTCACCTCTATTTATCTTATTTAATTAAATTTTGATTGATATATTGAATGTTTATATGTCATATAGAGGTGGCTTGTTGGATGTACACCGGAGAGTGGTAGGCAGCGAAAATGAGGATTGCATATTTAAGGTCAATGTTTCTGAAACTGATAATAGGTGATGCAAGGAGAACCAAGCTCTTGCCTAATCAATTTTGATGGAATTGTACGTAGATTTTGACAGATGGTATAGTTGTAATGGTTCTAAAGTTTCATGATTTTCTGAATGGAAATGACATGAAGCAATTGCCGCCACCACTGCTGCTGCTGAAATTGGCTCTAATGAGTATACTCTCATCACCATGATAGGTATCTTAAGGGAGAATGGACTGTTTTATATGATTTCAGTTGAAGTGAAAAGTGGAGGGAGATGAGCGCGTTCCGTAAAGAATTAAGTTGCATAGTCTGAAGGCAATCGAATATCGTCTAGGTGAGAAAATCACACTAAAAGTTTGTTCATTCGCTGTTCTTTTATTTCTTCTCTTTTCTCTGCACTAACCCAACAAACTCTTAAGTGAAACTCAAAACAAAGACAACCCCAACTGGGTATTTTCCCTTTTCTATTCCATCTTTGAAAATTTAAAATTCATCCGATCTCTTCCATCTTTACTATCTTAACAACACTACTCCTTAACTCAGTCACAATGGCAACCCAAGAAGTGGAGAAGAAATCACAAGACACAATGAAGGTGAAAGTCACCGGAAAAACCCACGTCAAGGCCGGCAAGATAATAGGAAGAAGAGAATGCCAATTGATCACCTTCGATCTTCCATATCTAGCTTTTTACTACAACCAGAAGCTGCTTCTTTATAAGGGTAACGAAGAGTTCGACGCCATGGTTGAGAAACTTAAGGACGGGTTGAAGGTTGTTCTGGAATAGTTTCATCAGCTGGCTGGGAAACTTGGGAAAGATGAAGAGGGAGTTTTTAGAGTGGAGTATGACGATGAAATGGAGGGCGTTGAACTGAGTGAAGCGTGGCTGAAGAGATCGGAGTGAAAATGTCAAGAAAATTCCAGTTTCTTGACATTTTCATGAATTTTAAATTTGTTGTTTACACAAGGGACGGTCGTCCCTTAAGTGTGGACTGCCGTCCATACATAATGGACGAGCGTCCATTAGTTACGGACGCTCGTCCAAACTTAAAGGACGCCCGTCCACAATTTATGGACGGGCGTCCAAATTTTTTATTTTATTTTTTAAAACAAATTAAGTTTGGACGGCCGTCCATTCTTTACGGACGCTCGTCCAAACTTAATGGACGGGCGTCCTGTATTTGCGGACGCCCGTCCAAAATTAAGGGACTGCCGTCCACAACCTATGAACGGCCGTCCATAATGTTTTACAAAATTTTTTATTATATTTTATTTATGGACGGGCGTCCTTTAAATGGGGACGCCCGTCCATATAATATGGACGGGCGTCCTTATATGGACGGGCGTCCATGTGAGTGAACGGCCGTCCAAATTTGATGGACAGCCGTTCACTAGAAAAAAATTGTAAAAAAATTCAGACGCGCGTTACACGTAGGCCGGTACAGAATTTCGGTGCAACTTTTTCGGTGCCCGTAGTGTTATTGATGATTATATTGGTTTTTTACATTTGGCATAGATTTTTTAGGCTATTTGAATCGTAGGTAGGATTCTATAATTGTTACAAGGGCGTCTGGTTGGTGGTTAAGTGGGGTTAATGGGGTTAAGTTATCTTATATTACTTAATTACCATGTTTGGTTGTCAAGTAATATAAAATACCGGTAATCTTCAAATACCAATAGTGGTTACTATTGGTAATATTGGAGGTAATCTGATTACTTCCATTTTCTTAGGTATTCTAAGATTACTAGGGAGCGTTTGGTTTAGGGAATTTTAGATTATTGGAAAGATAGATTACCTTGAAGATTATTGGGAGTCTTTAAGAAAATGTGTTTGGTTAATTGGTGGGTATGTTATATTAATATGTTTAGTTGTGAGGAATAAATTGGTAGGTATGTTATTTAAATTACTGAATTGTCCTCTAATTAAATATTATTATATTATTATTTTTTAATATTGATTATTATTTGGATTATTGTAACCCCTCTACATTTAAAAACTTAGCAAAAACAACCTCATAATAAAAGTTTAAAAAATCAACAAAGCACCCCCACCAACCCAACCGCTGTCTACCGTCCGTCAACCGGTAACCTAACGGTGCACGGAAGGCAGGAAATGGTCTCCGTGAGCCGTATGACCATTTTCGGCCAGATCTAAAATGGCCAAACGTGACAAATTTGGCTATTAACGACCAGATCCGTTGATCTGGCAGTCAATAGCCATCGATCTGGCCGTTGACTGCTAGATCAGGCACAATCTGGCCAGAAATAGCCATATCGGTGCATGGCGGCCATTTTCGGCCTTCCGTGCACCATTCCAGTAGCGACGGCGGCTGGCTATGGCGGTGGTTGCCAACAACAGGTAGGTAGGGGTGGTGGTAGGGGTGGGCTGTAATTTGTTTTGAATTTAAGGGTAATTTTGTCCAAAATGTTAATTAATTGGGGTGAAATAGTAAAAGTCATATTCATATAAATAAATTCAAAAATAAGGGCATTATTATCCTAAAATTTTATTAATAAGGGATAGAATTGTAACAAAAAAAGATAACCCTAGTAATCTTAGAATACCTAAGAAAATTGAGGTAATCAGATTACCTCCAATATTACTAATAGTAACCACTATTGGTATTTGAAGATTACCAGTATATTACATTACTTGACAACCAAATATGGTAATAAAGTAATATAAGATGACTTAACCCTAGTAATCCTAGATAACCCCCAACCAAATGCCCCCCAAGGTTATCTTTTTTTGTTACAATTCTATCCCTTATAAATAAAATTTTAGAACAATAATGCCCTTATTTTTAAATTTATTTACATAAATATAGTTTTTACTATTTCACCCCAATTAATTAATTTTTTGGACAAAATTACCCTTAAATTCAAAACAAATTGCAGCCCACCCAAGCCACCACCCCCACTCACCTACCGCCAGCAACCATCGCCGCGGTCGTCGAAACGGCCCACTGAAGGCCGAAAATAGCCGCCGTGCATCGATATGGCCATATCTGGCCGTTAAAGACCAGATCCAACATTGACAGCCAGATCCGTTACGTCTAGCCATACGGCAAACGGAGGCCATTTCCTGCTTTCTGTGCACCGTTAGGTTGCCGACGGCCTGCGGTGGTTGCCAGCAGCGGCTGGGTTGGCGGGGGTTCTTTGTTGATTTTTCAAACTTTTATTATGAGGTTGTTTTTGCTAAGTTTTTAAATACAGGGGGGTTATATAGTCCAAATATTAAAAAATAATATAATAATAATATTTAATTAGAGGACAATTCAGTAATTTAAATAACATATCCGCCAATTTATTCTTCTCAACCAAACATATTAATATACCATACCCACTAATTAAACAAACATATTTTCCTAAAGATTCTCAGTAATCTTCACGGTGATCTAACTTTTCAGTAATCCAATATTCCCAGTAATCTAATATTCTCAATAATCTAAAATTTTATTAAGGGGTCCTCAGCTTAAGGATGTCTCGCGGCTTGATAACAATGGCTTGGAGAAATCAAACAGGTCTGCATCGCATATTTAACATTCTGTGTAAACAAAATAAAAGCAGATAATTAAGCGGCTGTAAATTTTCTGCTATGTTAAAAGTTAAATATGATACCCTTTGGCAAACAGTCTGGGTCAAAAAATTAAGCAGCAACTTGAAGATGGTCAATTTGTCGATGCCACAAATTCATGGAGTGAACTTGAAGAAGTGATTAGTGCTA